AAAGTTAAGTTTTGCCCCCCCACAATGGCCCCAGAGAATTAAGTTTTACTCCCTCAGAAAAGTCATGTTGAATGATTAGTTCACTGACTCTATGAATGTCCCTCAATCCTGCTGAAGGCTGGTCCTTACAGATGGAACACATATTCTTAGGACCTTAATGTCACACACCAAAACAAATTCTTTATCATGGATGCATCAAAGTATGAAATTCTCACAATACTTCAGGTTATGCTAGTTAAATTCCAGCACGAATGTGGGAGGGACTCACAAGGGAGAAGGAAAGTCAGTATTTCTTTGTGGCTATTAGTATGTTAATCATGCTCCAGTGGATGAGGCCACATCATCCATTTCATGTGCCATTTCCTAGTGGCCGAGGATGTTGAACACTTTTTAAGTATTTACTAGTCATTTGTATTTCTTCTCATGAGAATGTTCTCTTCAGTTCCACAGTCCACTTTTTTTTTTTTTATTTGCCTTGGTGGTCTTCCTGCACGTATGTCTGTGTAAGGGTGTTGGACCCCCTGGAACTGGAGTTATAGACAGTTTTGAGCTGCCATGTGGGTGGTGAGAATTGAACTGGGGTGCTTTGGAAGTCTGTGCTCTTAACTGCTGAGGCATCTCTCCAACCCCCACAGTCCACTGTTTAATTGGGATGTTTGATGTCTTGATTTTTAGGTTTTTTTAAAATCATTTTATAATGTCCTAGACACTAATCCCCTTTCAGATGCGTAGCTGATTTTCTCCCATTCTGTGGGTTGCCTCTTCACTCAACTGACTCTTCCTTTTGTTGTACAAAAGATTTTCAGTTTCATAAAATCCCGTTTGCTTTACCTGGAGTCTACTTAGAAAGTCCTTACCTGTGCTTATAAACTGAAGCGCACTTACAACATAATTTTCATCTAGAAGTTTCTGGATATCAAGTTGTATATTAAGATCCTTAATCTATTTGGAGTTGTGTTTTGTGCAAAGTAAAAGATAAGGATCTAGTTTCATTTGTCTGCATTTTGCAACTACATTAAGGTTCTATCTCACTCCATTCAAAATGGCTATCTATCATGAGGAATACAAATGACAACAAATGCTGGCCTGGATATAGGTAAAAGGAAGCCCTTGTACTATTGGTGAAAATGTAAACTAGTGCACACCCTCTGGTAATCAGCCTGGAGGTTTCAAAAAAGAAAAAGAAAAAGAAAAAGAAAAAGAAAGAAAGAAAGAAAGGAAGGAAGGAAGGAAGGAAGGAAGGAAGGAAGGAAGAAAGCAAGCAAGAAAGCAAGCAAGCAAGAAAGAAAGAAAGAAAGAAAGAAAGAAAGAAAGAAAGAAAGAAAGAAAGAAAGAAAGAAAGAAAGAAAGAAAGAAAGAAAGAAATCGGGCTGGAAAGATGTTCAGCAGTTAAGAGCACAGGCAGCTCTTGCAGAACTCCCAGGTTATATTCTCAGTGCTCACATGGTATCTCATAACTGTCTGTAACTTCACTTCCAGGGGACCCAACACCTTCTGGCCTTCATGAACACTTACATACATGCAATATACAGACACACATGTAGGAAAAATACCCATAGAAATAAAAATAAATAAATGTTTTAAAAAATTGAAATAGATTTGCCATATGGCCCAGCTACACCACTCCTGGGCACACACCCAAAACACGTTGTATCTTATTATAGAGATACTTGCACATCCATGTTCACGGCTGATCAATTCACAATAGATAGGAAGTAGAATCAACCTAGATATCCTTCAACTTATGAATCGATAATGAAATATGGTGTATCTACACAATGGAAAATGAAATAATGAAAACGTCACATAAATGGACAAAACTGAGAAAATTACACTGAGTGAGTTCAATGAGGCTCAAAAAGAGAAACACTAAAAGGTCTTTCTCATATGCGGTTCCAAGGTTCAAATCTTTCTTGTGTATTTCTAACACTGAGTATATGTGGAGAAGAAGAAAGCAAAAACAGGCTACTAATGGGGAGGATGTACGGGGGTGCAGAATACGATTAAAATGAAAGTAGAGAGGGAAATGCTGGGGACCAAAGGACTCAAACAGGTTTGGCAGTGACAGAGATGGCAAAAAGAGGGGCCAGAATAAAGGTTAAACAAAACGAAGAACACACAAAAGTTATTTGGGCACCAGTGGTCTTGCGATCCAACTTACATACACATATACTGTAATATACATAGTGAAAGGGGATAGTAGAACAGATGTCCTATGAATGAACAGTGAGAAAATACTGGAAGCTAAAGGTTTAAGAAGGGATGTGGATGGAGTGTAGGGGAAAGGAGGGTTAGGAACCGTGTTAGCCAAAACTAAAGACATATGGAGTGGTGTTATGAAACAGCACTAGCTTGTAAGCTAATTTAAAATACATTTTTCTTGAAGAAAGTGGGGAACAGAGCCTTACTATGTAACTCCTGTTACCCTTAAACTTTGTATATAGACCAGGCTGGCCACAAACCCACAAAGACCTAAACAAACAGAAGTACCACACATCAGTGAACAATGTCACTTCCCAAAAGCCATAAGGGGATAAATGAAAATGTCAGTGTCACGCACAAGTCACCACCATATAAGTTATTGATCAGAGAGGCTTCAGTGGCATCCGAACAATATAAGCTACTGTCATTGTTCTGGGTTACCAACCATAGCTAGATGATAAAACCTTACTGTTGAAGACACCGCACATTTTGCTTGCATGAGCTGACCAGGAAACTACCAGAAAGCTGTCTGTCTTCCATAGTGCTGAATGATACTCTGAAAGCTGCTGGGGGAGAAGACGCATAAAATATTTCATCCTGAGCTGAACCTAGGATGCTACTATATTGTCAGACAAGATGTGCCTACTTGAAAGAATGTTTATGGAGCTAAGGAACTGCTGCCAATGAGATTTCAGGCCTGCTGAAGAAGAGGGAAATCATGTCTGACAATTTAGCAAGCTGAAAAACTACGGTTAGGGATGTCATGGGTCCTAAGGGAGAACCTACGGATGTATTTTTCTAACTGGTCATGTTGACACACTGCCTTCTAAATATTGGTGTTTTCTGTTCATAGATTTCTGCTGCTCCCAACCTCGGCCAAAGGAGCTTCTTACTGTAGCCATGGTAGTTAATACAGAGAAGCATTACTATTTAAGTTATGAAAATAACTGTGTATACTCAACCATAGATGGGACATTATATCAGCCCCCTACTCCCAAGGCCCAGGAAACACTGCAGAAAATCTGAAGTGAAAATGTAAGAGCTGGTGGATGGGGAGCAGTACTATCAAATGCTGTGCTCTGTACTTGACATGGCTATTGCATACATGAATTAACAATAGCCGTGGTTACCCACGCAAGGTCTGCATGAGCTCATGCTAGTGAACAATTCCAGCAATAGACTTGGGAGTGGTTTCCAAAGCCCCATCCCTAACTGAGAAGCTAGTTTTAGTTGGTAGCTTCTTGGGGAGGAAGAGTCATTTTTCTTTAGAGTGTGGCCTTGGAATGTTTGCCATATTCTTGTATATAACCCATGTACATGTAAACAAGAGCTGCAGTAATTAAACTCAATGGGTTATAAGTAAATAATTTTAGAAACTGACCCTATCTTCATACCTTTCTGAATCTACCTTTAATCTTAAGCCTAAAGTATCCTAAAAATATTCTTTTGCTTAATAGTTAAATAACAGAAAGATTTTACTACATAGAACTCATTTGATGTTTTGAAAGATGCATTATGTTGATTATGATAGCTGAGGAAATTAAGCTACATATTGCTGCATAACTATCCTTCCCTGTGGTAAAAAGTCTTTCATTAATTTCCACTGCACAAACAATGCCCATCATATTAGATAGAAATCAAGTCATTTCTCCTGTGGCACAGACATTTGCGGTCAAGTTGTTTTGGTTTGTTTTTGAGACAGGACTCATACTCTAAGGCAGGACTTGAAATTCTTTATAGCTTATGATGGCACTGAACTAAGAGCAATCCTCCCGCAGTCTTGCAATTGCTGGGATTTCAGGATTTCACTATGACCAGCAATGGCTAATATTTTTATCTCTTCAACAATGGCACCACAGCTACTAAACTCCATCTCTTATATGTGATTATTTTTACCCATAGAAGAAAGACAGTGAGGTTTTCTATTCTGATATTCTCTGTCACTCCCTTTTAATTGGTGTGCATGCATGCACACACAGACTCACACATAATATTAACATTTTAATGGCCAATTTTAAGAAAAATGTGTATGTCTTTCATGTGTAGTTGCTTTCATTACAATAAACAAACACCAGGTTTAGCAAAACTTTTCAAAAATCCAAATTCTGGCCTCAGAAATGTTCAATGTAAAAAAATTCAAATTTAAATGTTTCTCCTTCCTCCAAGATGGGGAATTTTGGCCCATTCTTATAGAGGGCGCAATCAAATACTTTCTTAATCATCATTTTTAAAAGGGCAGAACACATACACACCCCACATGATTTGATTGATGAGTTGATGAATTGGGGTGTGGGGATGCAGCCTAAAGCCAAAGCCCTGTCCTTTTTAACTGTAGTACTAAAAAGAATATAATTCAGAAGGGTGATGACAGGAAAAATCTAAAGCAGCCCAGACATATCTGTAAGGACAGACACCACAGTCTGGACTCAGCGTCACCAACCTGCCTCCGCTGCTGTGTGTGCGGAGGCGCAGGTCTCAGGAGACGACTCTCTCTAGGAAGACGGGGACCTGGGACGAAGTAGTTTCCCGGGGACCGAACAGGGCGGGACCCGGTGCCCGGCCACGGCTCTGCACACAATTCCAGTGCTTTGGGGACCAGCGAGCCAGGGCACACTCGGCTGGACAGCACCCGGGGAACGGCCAGACAACAGCGCCGCAGCCTCCGCACTGTCACAAATCCGCCACGTGCGACTCCAGGAGCCCAGGGCACACTCACCATTTCCTCTTTCAGATGCATCCAGGTCTTCTTCCGAAACGACCTAAAGCCAGGAGAGACAGGTAGTCCAGACGGAACACCACAGGCCTTCTCACAACACAGGACTCAAACATGGCAGCAAGGGCGGGGCCTTCGAATATACGTGCTCCTCATTGGACAGTTCGTGGAGGGCAGCAGCAGCGTCCCGGATTGACGAAAGGTACGGATAGCCTTGAGTTTAACTGCCTGAATTAATAACGTTCCCCTTCCCAAAGGAAGTTAGAATTGCAGGTTTTTTGTTTGTTTGTTTGTTTTGTTTTTTTAAAGCTGGGTTAAGCCTGTCCCGACCAGGTTTATAGCTTCTCATTTAAGGGAACATACTCCAAACTTTTTGGTGCACACACTCGCTTTTTGTGAACTCGGGGTCGGGGGTGAGGGTGGCGGCAGCCTATTTCTTTGATCACAAACAGTGCCCAAGTTTGCCCTGGACATTGCTGATTCAAGTCCTTAGTGGAAAAATCAGAGTCATCGTAGAAGATCCCCAGGTCTGTCCAGAGACAGGGACAAGAAGGGCCTGCTATGCGAACACAAGAATTTGGGATGAAGTAAATGTGTTGTAAAGCTCTCTCACACCTTACGTTTCAACTTATCCAATTTGTTTTAATTGTTGTTTAATTTGTTTTTGAGACAGAATCTCTCTGTTATGTAGCTCCAGCTGTCCAAGAATTCACTATGTAGAACAGGCTTGTCACGAATTCACAGTGATTCATCTGCCTTTGTCTCCAGAGTGCTGGGATTTAAGGGTGTGGGCTACCTACCATTCTACAGAGAGATTTTCTACCAAGAAAATTAAAACAACAGCCAATAAATATAAGTACTGAATTATAGAAAAATGAAGTTACATAACAGCAATGTTTAGCATAGAATTAAGACATCTAAAGAACAACCCTTGAATTCAGACAAAAAGTTCCTTGGACGGAAGTCTGGTGGTATGCCTACATCCACAAGTGTAAGCATAATCACAAGCCTCAGGATTATTCTTATATGGTGGCCCTTCCCTAGTGATGAGACAGAGACACCTAAGAACTCTGGGAGATCACCATGCCTTCTATTGCTTCCTTTGCCAAGAAAACTCTTTTAACACCTTAGTATTCACAAAAAGGACCATATCATCTACACTGGCATTAAGGTATTGTTATAGGTGAGGTGATCTGAGTCTGGAGGGCAGGTGCTTGTGTCTCTTTGCACTGACTTGTACAGAGACAGAGAGGAACATATGCAGGAGCCTGAATATGTGCCATATCTGAACTGTGACCTGGCTCTCAGACAGCAAAGTGGGGGTGGTGGGAAGGGGCAGAAAGGGGGGCTTTTATGGGTCATTAGCATACTATGCATTTCCTTCAAGGTCTCATAATGGGAATTCTCCAAGGGGGCTACCTTGGGTGAATGCAGCTCAGGTATGTTAAGGACTCCTAGACCCTCAGCTACCACTGCCTTTTATATGTGCAGCCCTCAAACCTCTTATAGTTTCTACATTTTCTGCCTCAATTCCCTTGTGGGTGCTGTGGTCCCCAAAAGCTTTTGGGGCTGCAGAAGGATTTTGATCAATCATGTTGAATAACTATTTCCCTACTGGTGATGAGCATAGTCACTGCCTAAGAGGGTGCACAAGATTCACTAGGTTATCTGTTTCAAGAGGAGGTTTTGGATTTTCAGTCTGAGCGGTAGGGTTTCAGCTTGTTTTCAGTATCAGCAAGTGGGAAGGGCAGATGTTCTCGGTATTATAAAAAGAAAACAAAAAGCAGCTGATTATTTTATATTAAGATGGTGGTGGGAAACAAAGAACATTTTGAAGGAAGTATCTATCTGTTGATGGGATAGAAGAAAAGGAAATAGTGACCGTTGAGTACCTGCAATGTTAAAAGATAGGCGAGGAAGAAAACTAGAGCACGAAATAAGAATGCAACTACTGATAGATTTAGAGAAACTTATAGGTTTTATACAGAGGATATTTTTGCATATACTTGGGGTGGCTGTGATTGTCCTATACACTATGCCAGTACATCTTATACAGGACCTAATGGGAAGGCCTATATAAGGTCCAGATTATCATTTGTCTCTTTCAAAGCCTAGGTTAGCTTTGTTTTGTCTTATGCCAATTATTTTCATCTTTGTTATAATTTCCTGCTGGGGTATAAAATCATTGGGGGTGGCCAAAAGTAACCATCATTATTATAGTTATTATTATTATTATTATTATTATTATAAAAACTATTGTTATTTATAGCTATTATTATAGCTGCTGCTGTTAAGGCCCATTTACACTACAATCCATGAAATACTGGGTATTTAGGAGGAGTCCTAAGCTCCTTTAGCTTTTTACCAGTGGCAGTCGGCAGGCAAGCATCGCTCTGAGCAGTAGCTAAGACCTTACATTATAATATGAAAGTTGGAGGCAGAAAGAGCTAACTTGGAACATGGTGAGCACTAAAACCTCAAAGCTACCCCAGTGACTAACCCTTTCCACCTAGGCCACATCTTCTAATGCTTCCCACTAGTTCCACCATCTGGTAACCAAGCATTAAAATATAAGAGCCTATGGGGTCCATTCTCACTCAAACCACAACAGAAGTCACAGTTGGGCAGGGGGCACTGACTGCTTCTCTCACTTGGCAACTTGCACTGTATCTATTACTATGGCAGTTAGACTAAATGAAGGTGGTTTCAGTGTTAGATCCAGCTCAACCCTTCCAAGTCCTGCAACCAAAGTGTGTAATGGTTCAGCAAATACAACTTACCTTCAACTTCTCAGAGATGACCAAAGGAAAGAGTAGTACCCTAAATTACTTGGGGAATTACACAGACTATCCTAAACATCTTAAATGGAGGTTTTTCATGCCTGGTAGTGGTGTTTTTATTAGTACAGGGTTCTTGGGGGAGGCACTGTAAAGCCAAGTGACATAACTTCATTTAATGAATGTGTGTGTGCATAATCTCATAGTCACACTTTTATGCATTATATATAACTTTAGGCATGAACAAAATAACAACTCCTTGAGGAATATCAAACAGCAGTGGTATTTGCTCCTCTTCTCTTTACTGTATTGACCTTTCTCATCTCATGTCCAGTTAGAAATCTCCTCCTCCACAGTTTTCATATTTTCCCCCTCGCAGCCCTCACATCCAGCTACTCCCCTCTCCACTCTCTTCCCTACTTACCAAGAGAATATGATCTAGGCACAAAGAAATCTTAAATCAGAAAATGGTTTGGTAGATGGAATCAACTTGAAAACAAGTTAACTCATCTCAGAAAGATAACTCTCTTTTTTCTTTCATTTGTGGTTTCTAGCTCCAAATCTTCAGATGTGAAAAGATAACCTGGACTAACTACAGAAACCATACGTTGCCTTCTTAATAAATAACAAAAATGCTCAGAATTTGACTGTACTTTTTTCAAACTGTTCATTTCTAAAAATTCTGAAATAACTTCCAGAAAGTATTTATTTCTTATATGAGATTCAAGTACATGGAAAAAGTTTCACAATTTTTATCTCATTTAAAATGACACTAACTTTTTCACAGTTGTGCAATGAAAATTTCTTTTGACTGGATTTGGATCTTCTTAAAGTCCAAAGCAGGTGGTATTTCTATAGCTGTGACTAATCACAACTACTAAAGTAACCTTTAAAAGGAAGTGTTACATTTGGCTTGCAGTTACAGAGTGTTAAGAGTCTCTGACGGCGGGGCTGGAGAGATAGCTCAGTGGTTAAGAGCACTGGCTGCTCTTCCAGAGGACCTGAGTTCAATTCCCAGCAACCACATGGTGGCTCACAACCATCTTTAATGAGGTCTGGTGCCCTCTTCTGGCCTGCACGTGTATATGCAGGCAGAACACTGTATACAGTGGATCTCTGTGAGTTCGAGGCCAGCCTGGGCTACCAAGTGAGTTCCAGGAAAGGCGCAAAGCTACACAGAGAAACCCTGTCTCGAAAAAAAAAAAAAAAAAAAAAAAAAAAAAAAGAGTCTCTGACGGCGGAGCAAAACATGGTGGTAGCAATATCTCAGAACTCCCATGAAAATCCACAATAAAGAGGCAGAGAGAACACACTGGGAGTGTCACTGTCTTTTGTGTGAGCTTAAAACTTGCCTAGAATGACAGATATTCTCCAATAGGCCATACCTCCTATTTATTCTCAAACAATTCCATCAACTGGAAACCAAATAGTCAAACTTAGGAGACTATTGGACCATTATCACTCAGACCATTAGTATAGTCATATTCAAATGTACTGTCAATGCCATAGGGGGCAAAAGACAAGTATTATTGCACATCCTGCAAGTGGTTTTTATCCTACATTGCGAGTTAAGAACTACACTTTTACTGTTTCATAATGTTTCTTTCTACACTAAAAATATATTTGTTAGTTTCTGTTTCCATTGTTTTGAACATTTTATTTAATTATTCATTTGTATGTCTTTGTGTATTTGTACATTGGGAAGTGTGCATGTGATTGTCAGAATATAACTTTCAGGAATTGTTTCTCTATTTTCACAGTGTAAGAGCTAGGGAGGTAATTGAGATGGTCAGGTTTTGAACAAGAACCATTACTAATCGATGGACCTCATGATCTAACCACATCCTCCTTTCAACCCTGCAATGGAGGCAAGTTGACCAAAGGCAGTGTCACATACTTCCCCTGGTACAAGTTCTACCCACTGTACTTCTTTTTCACTGTGAGATCCTTTGGATTTGTGGAGGGATGTGAAACACAGAAACGCAGGCACACTCTGGCTGCATGGAAAAGGCTTCTAAACACTATGGATTATTACCCACATTTATTCCAAACAAAGTTTCCACCACTGTGAAAGTTTTTTTATGAGTATAGTAGGAACTATGACTGTGAAAGGCTTTTCCACATGGTTACAGATGTATGGCATCTCGCCATCCTTCATGAATATTACAGCAACTGGAACCGCAGTGGGCTTTTCCACAGTGCTTACATGCATGAGGCTTATTTCCAGTGTGAGTTGTTTCCTGAATGCCACATGAACTTGGGGTAGTGAAGGCTCTTTCACAAGGCTGAGGTTCCTTTCCAATGTGAGATCTCTTATGCTTAATAAACTGAGAGCAAAGGAACAGTTTCCCACATGTTTCTCTCCAGTGTGAATCCTTTTATGGCTCTTGTAGCAAGTTGAACTTATGAAGGCTTTCCCACAATTCTTACATCCATTAGCCTACTGTCTCATGTGATGCTTTTTATGATTGTCACGCCAACTGGAAGTGGTGAAAGTTTTCCCACAATGCTTACATGCATAAGGTTTCTCACTAGTGTGAATTCTTTCATGAATGTTACAGTATGTAGAACTGGAGAAGGCTTTTCCACAATGCTTACATACAGAAAGCTTCCTTTCAGAGTGAATTCTTTCATGTCTGTTATGACAAAAAGCACTATTGAAGGCTTTTCCACAATGCTGACATGCATACAACTTCTTTCCAGAGTGAATTATTTCATGAATGTTATCATAATAAGAATTGGAAAAGGTTTTCCCATAATGCTTACATGCAAAAGGCTTCTCTCCAGTGTGAATGCTTTCTTTCATGCCTGTTATGATAAGTGGAACAGGTAAAGGCTTTTCCACAATGCTTACATGAGTAAGGCTTCTCTCCAGTGTGAATCCTTTCATGAATGTTACGATAATAAGAATTGCTGAAGGCTTTCCCACAATGCTTACATACATAAACCCTCTCTCCAGTGTGAGTTCTTTCATGAATTTACAGCACTTGGAACTGTTGAAAGCCTTTCCACAATGCTTACAGGCATAATAAAGCTTCTTCTTTACATTGTGAATTTTTTCATGAATGTTACGCAGACTTGGAATGGTGAAAGTTTTTCCACAGTGCTTACATGCATAGTGCTGCTTTATTTTGTGTATTCTTACATGAGTGTTGTGCCAGCTGGAACTGGTGAAGGTTTTTCCACAATGCTTACATGCATAAGGCTTCTCTCCAGTGTGAGTTCTTTCATGGGTGATAAGATAATGAGAGAGAAGAAACACTTTCCCACATCTTTTACAAATGAAGAGTTTCTCTTCAGTGTGAATTCTTTCATGAGAGTTTCAAGAACTGGAGCTGAAGAAAGTTTTCCCACAGTGCTTACATGCATAAGGCTTCTCTCCAGTGTGACACTTTTCATGAATGTTACGCCAACTGGAGCTGGTGTAAGTTTTCCCACAATGCTTACAAGCATAAGGTTTCTCTCCAGTGTGAATTCTTTCATGAGTGTCACGAGAACTCAAAGTGGCAAAGGTTTTGTCACAATGTTTACACTGCATGATAAAAACATGCTCTGGGATTCAGGGTGCAGTCACTCACTTCTTCACATACCCAGTATTTCCACCTGTTTTTCCCATAAAGTCAGAGACTTAAATTTGCTCAATACATTCTAATTTCTTGCTCCAAAGGAAAAACCAGGACTTCAGGGTAAGAACAGGGCTCCAGTAGATTCAAGCACGGAAACCACATATAAGGCAGCATAGGAAACCTCAGAGATTAGGGATGAGTCAACCGCCCATGACTGCCTCACACTCTGTGTTTCAGTATATCCATTTTCTGTCAATATAATTAAAGCACACCAACAAGTGAATAAAATTACTTAATGGATATATAAAATAGACATTCATGCCATGAGCACGCCACTAAAGATTCAGAGTTAGGAAAAGGAACCCTTGATTTTACAAAAAGGTTTTCTTGTCCAAGGTCATAAGAAAGCCTCCATTCACTAGAGTAAATACTCCTGAAATCCCAAAATAGAATAGGTTTATGTCAGCGTGCAAGGATTAAATGTTAATGTATTTTCTTTATTTATGTTTGTTGTTTTGCTTATTTGTTTGTATATGTATTTGTTTGTTTTGTTTTTTTAGACAGGTTTTGTTGGGTAGTATGTTCTGGAACTAGTTCTCTGTACCAAGTGAGCCTCCTATTTAGTGATCTTCTTGCTGCTGCCTCTGCATTGCAGGGATTAAAAATGCCTGCCACTAGCAGGGCGTGGGGGTGCACGCCTTTAATACCAGCAGCCGGAGGCAAAGGCAGGAGTATCTTTGAGAGTTCGAGGGTAGACCTTCGATAGTCATAGTGTACTTCCATTATCAATTTTTTTTTTTTTTAAGTTTTACTTAGCAGAAAGTGTTCTTGTAAGGACATGGCTTGGATGACTTCGTGTTCTGTGCAGTGCAAGCATCTTTGGGAGGACAACTGGACACCTCAGAAGCACGAAATGGTGAGTGAGCATTGGGCTCCTGGAATCCTGGGTGGCCGGTTTGGGACACTAGCTGCTTTGGAGCTATGTGGTGCCAGCTCCTGTGGTTTCCCCTGGTGCTGGTCTACAAAGCTAATTCCAGGACAGCCAGGGCTACACAGAGAAACCCTGTCTGAAGGTGGGGTGGGGGTGTGGAGCCTGCCACCGGGTCTGGCATATTTGTTTGGTTTGATACGTAGAGTGTCTCACCATGTACTCCTTAATGCCTCTGAATTCACAGAAGTCTGCCTTCCTCAAGAGTGCTGGCAGTAAGGCTTTCGCCTGATCTTTCCTAAAAGGCTTAGATACATTAGGCTGAAGGTGAGGCGTGAGTAGAGTTCGCCAATCAGGGACGATATTACTAAAAGGAAAGAACTGTCCAATCAGGAGCACGGATAGTCATAGTGTGCTTCTATTGTCTTTTCTTTTCTTTTTTTTAAGTTTTACTTAGCAGAAAGTGTTGTTGTAAGGACATGGCTTGGCGACTCCGTGTTCTGCCGAGTGCAGGCATCTTTGGGAGCACAACTAAATACATCAGAAGCACGAAATGGTGAGTGAGCATTGGGCTCCTGGAATCTTGGGTGGCGGGTTTGGGACATTGGCTGCTGCAGTATCCCTGGTGCTGTGCAGCCCAATGGAAGGTGGAGACCAGCCCAGCAATGCCTGTGCCCACCTGTGCTTGAAGTGTGCGCCTCACAGGCAGCCTTGAGCCCCGAGTCCCCCACTGTTCTGTCCTAGTGAAGTTGCTTCCACACAATTCCCCAGCACTCTTGGGTGAGTCCTTTCCGCGAACCTGCGCCTACACAGTCCTTACAGCGCTGGCGGGTTGGAGATGCTCAGCCCAGACTGTACTATCTAGGAACGTGGGTGGTCTGTGCAGTTCTCTTCTCCTCTCGTACGTCTGTTTGCGTTGATTTTGCTTTTTCTGTTACCGTCTTGGATTTCTTTCCGGTCCCATCTGGTCTCCCTCAGATTGTTTCCCATGCCTCCTGGTGTTAGAGAAATTTCTCACAAAGCTGCATGTCTACCCTTATTCTGTGTGGTGTTTGCATATTTCCTTAAAAAAACGATAATGTGTGAGAATTTTAAATTGCTCTCCTGACTGCAGCTGGCCAGAATTACTAGTCTGAAGAAGGATATTTCAATTTGCTTCATTTTTTGTTTGCAGTGATCTTTTTTGAGTCCAGTATTGGAATTTTGAAAAGTTTCCCCAACTTTGCAGAAAAGGCCAAACAAACAAACAAAACAAAATAAAACAAAAACCCAACAACAACAACAAAAAGCTGGCAAAGAGCTTCATGGCATTGGCGTTATATTTCTGTTGCTGCTTCTTGTTTGGCTGTAGGCTGCTTTAAATAGAAGGGATTGGGAGTATCACTTCTGTAGCAAGTAATTTACAGTGTTTCAGTCTCTGGGAAAATATTAATATTCCACCTCTTTCTTTTGGCCTCTGGATAGTTGGTTTATGTAGGTAGTGTAATTTCTGACCATTTGTGAAGTTTCAGAATGTTCATCTGAGAGAAAGACGAGTGTGCTTTCTACCTGGTGGAGAAAATGTTCTTTATTTGAATGTTGACTTGAGTGTGGACTATATTTATAATATATTTATTATGCTTCTGTGTATAGTTATTTTGATTTTCATTTAATTTTTAATTTGTATTAAATATGTTATTTATTTGTTTTGTTTGTTTGTTTTTGGAACAGAGTTTCACTCTGTAGCCCCTGATCTCCTTGTGTTGACCAGGCTAACCTTGAACTCAGAGGTCACCGTCCTCTGCCTCATGCATTCTGGATTAAAGTCTTGCAACACTATGCCTGACTTTGTGGGCTTTGGTTACCTGACTCAATGTAATTACATTTACACTTACACCATTTGCTGGAAATTTAATTTCAGATTTCTTCATTGCTGAGTGGAAATCATTGTGTCTATGTGCTGCATCTCCATCATGTGGACATCAGCTGATGGAGATCCAGGCTAATTCTTTTTCTAGCTATTGGACTAGAGCAGCAATGACCATGTGTGTGCATGTATCTATTGTAGTGTATAAAGTGTTTTCATTATATTCAGAGAAATTTATACCTTGATGAAATAATATTTTTTACTTTTGAGGGAAACACACATTGATTTGCTTATTAATCCCAGCAGTTTAAACTCACCAACGGTGAGTAAGTATTCATTTTTCTACACATCCTCAATAGGGTTTAGGCTCTTCAGGCTTGCAGGGCAAGATTTTCAACTGCTTACCTGTGTCCTAGCTCTATGGACATTGTTTTGTTAATAAAAAACCCAACAAAACTTTTAAACTTATTTTTGCTAGGGAATTTCTTACATTCGAGTGATGTGTATTAATCGTATATAGCCCTTACACCCCCAGCACACCCAGTTCTTAACTTCCTGTCTTTTGGTTTTGTTGTTTTGTTTTTCTTTCTTTTTTCTGCCCCCCTTCTTTCTTCCTCTTTTTCCTTTTTCTTTCTTTCTTATAACCCACTGAGTTCAGTTAGTGCTGTCCAAATGTGTGGCCATCCACAGGGCATGGGCAACATACTAGTGGCCACATTCTTGAGGAAAAATAACTTTCCATTCCCCTCAAAGCCATCGGTTGCCAATACCTTCTTAACAAGGGGTGGCCTTCTTGAAGACCAATCCCATTCTGCCCAAATTTTTAGACTGACATCATCTAAAGTGTTTTGGGAATTTTAGAATTTGATCATGAATTGTAGAATATTTTTGGTGAAATTGAGTTAATCTCAGTAAGAGCACTCTTTATACCTTGTGTCTTTGTCCATTGATTTTCTATGAAACTACAATGTTCAGGTTTAATATAGACAATTATTATTGTGTAACAGATGTAGGATGAAGTCAATAAGAAATCAGGTGCTTCCAACTGAATAAAATTGTCTATGCTCTTAAGTATTAAACTAACAATAATTAATATTTCCAAGATAAATTTTAACCTGTACCATTAAAGAGTAAGACTGATGGCCCTTCTGTCCATGCTCTCCTCTTTAATGACAGATTTTCCCAAGTTCTGTTCTTGTCCAGTTAAACTAAAAGAGAAAAGTATCTGTTCAGCCTGCTCAAAGACTTCCCAGTCGTCAGGTTAGGCTTCGTGTCTTTTACATCCAAGGATTTCTACTTAGATACAATCATATTTTCAAAAGGGTAGCCTTTAGATTCAGGATTTCTAATGCTAGTAAAATATGATCAAAGATCTAATCAACAGCATAATTTAAAATAGAAAACTGATATAGTATCTTTGTTTTTAAAATGATCTTCATTTTACTTATGCAACTATGTATTGTTTACGTGTGCTTCTGTTTTCTTATTGGTTCCACCGTACTTTTTGGCTTATCGTTAAGTGGTATTAATATAAATATCCAGATTGGCCTAAATTCGTTTTAGTTCATAGTGTAATTAAAGCTTCTTTTTATAAGTTAGATAAAATATTACTCAGTATGTTTTTGGGTTAATCATCATCTCAGCTCTAAGTCTATAAGAAGTCTAAAATGTCCCTGTTGCTCTCAGGACACAGCATCTTCTATACAAGGGTACAATTTCATTATCATGAACAATGCCCTCATCTTGGAGATGACAATTTAGGTTCTTCCATTCCTAAAAAGTAAAGATTGAGAAAATAACTTAGACCTGCGATTTCAGACTTCCTTAAGTAATTAGTAGACTTAAAATATGTTCCAAATATATGTTTCACCAAAATAATTGCTCATCGATCCACTAAAAATGTCATATTTTTAATTAAAAAATTGAAGTCAAGTTTATTTCAGATAATTCACTGTCAAGGTTAGGCAAGTATTAGAGAACTGCTAAATAACATTTTAATTAAAAAACTTTAGAAAATAGATGGGTTGAAACATAAGGTGTGAAAAAGCCTCCAGTGTCTTTCCATCATTCCAAACTCTTGTGTTTGCACAGCAGGCCCCCTTCTTGTCTGTGTCTGGACAGACCTGGGGATTCCTTCTACCCCAAATGTCTTGGTTTTGGCCTCAGGATCTCCAGTCAGGAATATCCAGGCTTTCTGTCTCTTCCTCAGTCAGGGATGCTGTTACTTTCCTTCATCAAATGTCCACTGAGTACATGGATATTCGTGCCACCAAGTTTGAATTGTGTGTACATGCTGAGGCAAGTGTTGTTGGTCCTGGATGACATTCTGTTCTGCTGATTTTAGGTCCATAGGAAGGACACCTTGATCCATCCATCAGAAGCAGGAAATGGTGAGTATACTCTGTACTTCTGGAATTGTGGTTTGTGCATTTGTGACAGTGTGGTGACATATTGTGTACCCTAACAAACTTGCCTGAGGATCAGAGGACAGAGCCAGCCACTAGATTAGACATAGAAGTCAGGCAGTGGTGGCACACATCTTTAATCCTATCACTTGGGAGTCAAAGATCCGTCTGGATCTCTGTGAGTTCAAGGCCACACTGGGCTACAAGAGATTGATCCAGTATAAGAGAGAAACAGAGCCAGGCAGTGGTGGCACACACCTTCAGTCCCAGCACTTGAGATCTCATGCCTTTGCTGGGGAAGCACACAGGCCTTTAATCCCAGGAAGTAATATGGCAGGGCAGAGAGAGGTATGTAAGGAGTGAGGAAACAGGAGCCCTCTCTCTTTAGGCTGAGGATTTTGTAGATGTAAGAATTAGTGGCTGGCTGTTCTGCTTCTCTGATCTTTCAGCTTTCACCCTGATATCCGGCTCTGGGTTTTTTCTTTCTTTCTTTCTTTCTTTCTTTCTTTCTTTCTTTCTTTCTTTCTTTCTTTCTTTCTTTCTTTCTTTCTTTCTTTCTTTTTTTTTTAATTAAAAGACCATTTAAGATTTGAACAACATGACAGTGTTAAGGCCATGGAGCTACTGCTGTGACGTGTGCAGTGTGCCCTGGTGTCCTGCCCTGGCTTCGTCCTTCCCAAAGCTCTGGGATTGTGCGCAAAGCAGGCGGCTGTGCACAAGGCCTCCCGCCCTGTGCTGCCAGGGAAACGACTGTGGTTCAGGCCACTTTCTTCTTGGGGTGAAAAGGCACCTGTAATCTGTGCCTCCTCAGAACTTGCAGAGCTGCCAGGTTGGTGGCACTGAGATTAGTTTGTGGTGTGAAGGGACCTGGGTGGATTCCTGTCTGGTGTCCCTTACAAGTATGTCTGTGCTGCTTTAGATTTTTCCTGTCATCATCTTTGTGATTTTATATTTAGTACTGGGAATGAACCCCAAGTCAGTACTGACCGAAGTTAAACAAAGGCCTTGTCAGCCGGGCGGTGGTGGAGCACGCCTTTAATCCCAGCACTCGGAGGCAGAGGTGGGTGGATCTCTGTGAGTTCGAGGCCAGCCTGGTCTACAGAATGAGTTCCAGGACAGGCTTCGAAGCTACACAAAGAAACCCTGTCTCAACTCCGCCCCCCTCAAAAAAAAAAAAAAAAAAAAAACCAAACCAAAAAAAAAAAACCAAAACAAAGGCTTTGTCATTAGCCATATCCCCCATCTCCCAACTCCTCCTTATTTGTGCGGTGTTTCTGTGTGTGTGTTTGGTTTTTCTTTTTTTAAATTGTGATGAGAGGACTGGGTTGCTCTCCCTGGAAGAGTGGGTCAAATTCCCAGTCACAGAGGAAGAGAACTTTCAGGTGTATGTATATTCTTGCCCTGATCATTTCTGGTGTTAAGTTGGGGGGTTTGAAAGCCGTGTCGGTCAGCACTGTCCTTTGTGATCCCTGTGAAGGGGACCATGGACTTCAGAATGCGTTCTTGTTCGCTTGGTTTACTCTAGGTTGCTTCCCTAAGTAGAGGAAATTGCATGAGGGAGTACTTACTCAGTACTTAATAGGTTTGGTTTTTTTCCAGATGAAATTCTTTACATATTAAAAACACTAGTATTTTCAATAGTGTTATACTTTGGAGTGTAGAATGAGGAGACAAAAGACTGGAAACAGTCGAGAATATGACCTCAACAGACAACACTGGTTATTAGCACAGACAACAAAATACAGTGATTTTTCCTGCTGTGCAGTGGGCGCAAGCTGCCTGGGGCCCTTTTCAGAGTGCTGGAAGGGGCTTGGGACTGAGGAAGTCGATGCAGCTTCCTGGGCTGTGTGCTGCTATATAGTCTCTTCTTCCTTAAGTTATTTGCCCAGGAGAGACAGGCTGTCTTAGCAGACATTCCATTCCTCTCCTGGAATTAAAATTACTGTAATTAAAATAACTCTTAAGGAAAGAAAATTAAGCAAAACTTGGTTTATACAACAAAAGTGTTACCTAAAGTAGTATCCAAACTGTCATTATAATTTTCTATTTAAATATCAGTTACTTCTGCGTGCTTGCGTGTGTGTGTGTGTGTGTGTGTGTGTGTGTGTGTGTGTGTGTGTGTGTGTTTGTGTTTGTGTACACTGGTTAGAGGACAGTGACTGGACATTAGAATATGAGACCTAACTTTATTTCCTCTACAGGAAAAGGAACTCCGTATTAGAGATGGTGTGTAACAGTCATGAGTCCATTATGGAAGGGATGCAAAATCTTAGGTGTTGCTGATCATAATGGCTCATGGTTGAAATCCCAGCACCTGTAGGACTGATGAGTAAAGAAATGAGGAACTGTTTCCAGAATAACATAGATTAAGCTAGTGGTAGATAAACCCAAGTATTAACACAGTTCCTATTCTTTAAAATAATTTACTTCTACCCCACTGGGTCTGATTAATGAAGCCCTCATTTACAGTGTGCATGGGGTCCTACACAGCAGTGAGGATACCCTACAAATGACTACATTCCTAAAGAAAAGTGACTACTTCCCTTAGAGGCATCAGCTAAAACTAGGATCTCAGTAAGGGCTGAGGCCTCAAAGCACACCTCAGTCCATTGCTGGAATTTTTCACTACCAGGATCACATGCAGGTCTTATGAGTGAAACCACAGCCGTTGTGAATCCATGCCATGCACAGAGCATGGCCTTCCACAGGACTCCCCGCCCTCCAGCTCTTACACTCCATCTCAGCCGCCTGTTGCGATGTTTCCGGAGCTTTGAGGGTCATGGGTTTGATAAAAATGTCCCATCTACGGTTCAGTAGTCACAGTTGCTTATTTTCATAATTTAAATAGTAATCTTCTCTGTATAAACTACCACTGCTAAAATAAGCGTGTCTGATCCAGGTCGGTGACGCTAGAAACCCATGGGTAGAAACACAAATATTTAGAAGGCAGTGTGTCAACAGGAGCACTTAGGAACAGAACATTCGTAGGTTCTCCCTGAGGACCTATGACTTCCCTTGCCATGAGTTTTGACCCTGCGAAAGTACCAGGCATGATTTCTCTCTTGTGGAGCAAGCCTGCAATCCCATGACAGCAGTTGATTAGTTCCATAATTAGTCTTTCCAGTAGGCACGTCAGTATTGTAGCATCCAAGATCCAGCACAGGATAGACCACTGATGCCTTTTCTTCCCCACCTGATTTCATCGTACCTTTCAGCACTAAGAAAGATGTGCACCTGGGACAAGTCAGTTTATGATTGACTTTCCTGTGTTTTGTAAGCAAAGTGTCTGATGTCTTTAGCAGTAGTGTGTTATCTAATTTTTGTGGGCAACCAACAGCAGCAGCAATAGCTTATATTGTTCTGTGTGCCTTGGGACCCTTTCTGACCAAGTATCTGTGCCTGACACTGACATTTTATTTAGTCACTCATGGCTTCTGGGAGCAGCTTCTTCACTAACTGTTCTTCACTAATAGTTCCTCATTTCTTTACTCATCAGTTGTACAAGTGCTGGGATTTCAACCATAAGCAGCCATTATGATCAGCAACACCTAATATTTTGCATCCCTTCAATAATGGTCTCAATATCTGCTCTGAGTATCTGCTTGTTCAGAGCTTTGTGAGTTTGTGGCTAGACTGGTCTATATACAGAGTACAAGACCTGGTCTCTGAGGAAAATTCCAGGACATCCAGGGCTTCATAGTGATGCTCTATTACTCCCCCCAGAAAAGTATTTTTAAATAGCTTACAAGCTACAGGTGTTTCATAAGGCTTTTTAAATATATGTTTAGCTTCCTTTAACCCATTTCCTATCCTCCTTTCCTCTACACTCTGCCCTCATCCCTGTTTAAACCTTCAGCCTCCAATATTTTCCCAATGTTCATTCAGATCACACATGGACTACTATCCCCACTGACGATATGCATATGTGTTTATCTTGTCGTGCAATGTCATAAGTTCCCAGGTAACTTCTTCGTGCACACTTCATCTTGTTTAAGCCTTCTTCTGGCCTCTCTCTTGCCCATCTCTGTCTCTCCATTTCCTATTTGAAACCTCTGTCTCTAGCATTCCCCTCTCTACTTTCATTTTACCTGTATTCACCCCCTCAGACCTCCTCCCAATCCATAGTGTGTGTCTAGCTCCTTGTCTTTTTCATGTACACATAAACAGAAGATTTGAAACTAGGAACCTCATATGAGATAAGGCCATTTAGTGTTTCTCTTTTTGGCCAAGGGTGATCCCACTCAGAATTTTTTTATTTTTAGTGCTACCCTTTTCCTGAAAATATCATGATTTCATATTTTTACAGCAAAGTAATTAATATAACATTGTACATATATACTAGATTTTCATTATCCATCCATGTGTTGATAGGTGACTAGGTTGATTCTATTTCATAGGTATTGTCAATCGAGCTGCAATGAACATGGATATGCATGTATCTCTATAGTGTGATAGAGTTCTCTGCATATATGCCTATCAGTTTTATACCTATGTCATATGGTAAATCTATTCTGAGGGTTTTTTTAAATTTGTTTTTATTGTGTTGTTTTATCTTCATGTATGTCTGTTGCAGGGTATTTGATCACAATGTAAACCCTGAGATCGTGTTATTTATTGGAAAACCCTGTTTCTAGTTGTAATGTGGCTCAGCCGTAGTACACACCTTTAATCAAGAGCTTCCTGCTTATTGTAAAAAGGACAAAATTAAATCAACCATAGGTCAAGAGGGAGAGCAAATAATGAATTGACAGAAAGAAATAAACTATAGATAGTTAGGAGGAATCAGGCAGATGGATAGAGAGATGCATAGGAAGGAAAAGAGAGGGACAGCCGGTTGGAGAAATTTTGTGTGAGACAGCATAGGAGAATAGCTCCTCCTCTGCTGGATGGTGATGAGGAGGAAGCATCTGCATGCTTTCTCTGTTTCTCTGAGCTATCAGGTTTTCACCCCAGTATCTGGGTCCTGAGTCTTTATTGGTAAAATC